GGGGGCTCCAAAGACCTCATGTTTTGGGTGGCTCTGGAGCGGAGACCATCCCAGTGCACCGTGAAAAACGAGCCGTTGCGGGGTTTCTCTTGGTTGTCCCTCGACGTCGGCGGGTCGGAAAACGAAACGCTGCAGTGGGCGCAGGAGCCCCAGCCCTCCTGCACGTCGCGGAGCTGCGCGGCGCTCCAGGCCGCCGGAGGAGTCGAGCCCGCGGGCTGGAAGGAGGTGAGCTGCCACACGCGCGCCAACGGCTACCTGTGCAAGTACCAGTTCGAGGGACTGTGCCCCGCGCCGCGCCCCGGCGCCGCCTCCAGCTTGAGTTACCGCGCACCCTTCCAGCTGTCTAGCGCGGCGCTGGGCTTCAGCCCCCCCGGGACCCAGGTGAGTGCGCGCTGCCCTGGGCAGCAATGGGTCACTGCCACCTGCATCGCGGACCAGGTCGGCGCTCGCTGGGACGGGATTCCCTCGGGGGCCGTGCTCTGTCCCTGCCCAGGAAGGTACCTCCGTGCAGGCAGATGCGCAGAGCTTGCTAATTGCCTAGACGACTTGGAAGGCTTTGTCTGCGAGTGTGCTGCGGGCTTCCAGCTGGAGAAGGACGGACGCTCCTGTGTAACCAAGGGAGAAGGACAGCCGGACCCTGCGGGGACCAAGGCGCCCGCCAGGCACCAGCTGGCCACCGCAGCCAGCCCCGTGCCCAGGAGAACAGGGTCACCGAGGGTCCCTGAGAAACCAGGAGAGATACCCCACGTCCCTGCACGAGGCAGTTCCGCAACATATATTTCCGAGATTCCTGGGTGGGGAGCACAAAGCACGACGCCCACCCTTCGAATGTCCCCTCGAGCCAACTCCAAGGCCACCATCACTTCTTCAGGAAGCGTGATTCCCAAGGCCAAGTCCACGTCTTCCTCTGACATTCCCCGGGCCTTGGACTCCTCCTCCACCGTGGTTTTCATACTTGTGAGCATAGCTGTAGTAGTGTTGGTGATCCTGACCATGACAGTGCTGGGGCTTTTCAAACTCTGCTTTCACAGAAGCCCTTCCTCTGGGCCGAGAAAGGGGCCTTTGGCCCCTCGGGGCGTGGAGAGCGCTGCGGCGGCCTCGGCTCCCCGCCCCAGCTCCGCGCACCCCGCAGACCGCGGGGCGAAGGCCTGCGGGACCGAGCAGGGGGCGCCTCGCTGACTGGGTCCTGTCTGACTCCGGAGACACGTAGCACTTCTTGTGAGCAGTTTACCCTTTCAATAAAAAGGGAAAGGAAGAGGAGCTCCTCTGTGGAAGGACGATTTCTACAGAAGTCCCCTCCCCCTAAACTCCCTCTCGTCGGGGGAGGAGCCGCATCCGACGGGGATGCTCCTTTCCTAAGGTGAAGAAGTGAAAGTGCCTGAGGGGCCAGGAGTCTACTGGGGAGAGGTGTTTTCTTGTGTTTATCCTGGGGGAGTTGAAGAAGTGATGGAATGTTTTAAGATATTGGAAGCACATAAGAAAACAATACAATATTTTATATTTTATTTTTTACTACAGTGGAAAGAAAAACTGCTTACGTTGTTCAGACGGGAGTATATTGGTTTAAATTCCCAGGCAAAATAATAAAGGATCGTTGATAACCCAGACTCAGCTATCACTGGTTTCCTGGAGGAGAATTTAGGAAGAGCAGCTGAGGGGCACACTGGGCACAGCAATAAGAGTACACCCTGCTTTTAGGTTGAGGGGGGAAACTTTAAGTCCTTGTAATGAAGAGCAGAACTTTAAGAACTGGTAACTTTGTCCTTGGTTCTTCTGTTCTTTGTTTTCAACGTCACTGCTACCTGTGTGCTCTGCTATGAATCCCAACTATAGTGTTGCCAGATTTTCTGGCTCTAGAAACAAATTATAGTTGACCACCAGTTCAAGTGTTTACTGTGTGTCCTTGCTCCAGGAAACAAACGATTTGTTTTTCTCTTCCAATGTCTGTGCTCGCCAGTGTAATGACCTTCCCAACCAAATAGTCCTCTCCTAAACAGCAGGATGCTGATCCTCACTTCCAATTATGGCAATTATCAATTAAAACATTAATTGAAATTAAATTGAAATAAAGCATTAATTTCCAATTAAAACATTAATGCGAAGTATTGATTTGAAATCTTCTAGGTGCATTAAAGCACAAGTAAGCTGGATTTCCTCCAAAGTTGCTGGTTCTTGTGCACTGTTTAATCCACGGAAAAACTTGAAATCCAGACCTTTTCCTTCCCTGCTTAATAAAAGCATGTGCAGTGACCATACATGCTCATCTTGGAGTGATTTCAATTTCATAAGAGTCTACATGGACAAAATCATGGCAAGCCACTTTCTATAAGAATTACTAGTATAAGAATAAATGGTAAATACAAATATTTATCATCTTTTTATGACTTGGGGTATTAGGAAGTAATCTAAATGAAGCATTCCTCTGAAAAACGATTAAGACAGTAATAATCACTATCTAGTGGAATTGAGGCCTCCTAGAAAATATCCCTCTTCTAGTATGCCAAGTCTTTAAAATTAAGTGTGTGGAGATTGGTGCATGGAGACAGATAGAGAAACCAGCTTAGCAACCACAGAGAATGAAATCAGGAAGTTTACACTATATTTCTGTAGAACCATTTTGATGTTTTTGAGTGTGCAGTGTATAAAATATATACAAGGGTGGACAAAAGTAGGTTTACAGTTGTGAGTACACAAAACAGAGTTTATTATTGTATTATTTATTATTATTAACCTACTTTTGCCCCCATATATATAATATATATGCTGTTATAACATTAAAGGAACAAAATGACAGGTATCTGCTTCATATGTTAAAGATTTGTCTAAATAGTTACATTTAAATAAAATCACAAATGGATTAGAATTAACAACATTCAAAGGAATTTTAAATAAAATAATTTCACTAACAAATGTGAAGAATAAATAGGAGTCAGCTCAATTTCTTTATTATTTCCCCCTTGTAAGTAAGTCAGAAAAGTATTACAGAAAACTATTTCATATTTGATTTCCTGACACCTGACAATTGCAGACCCTTCATATCATTTCCTTCTATTTCTAGCTATGAAGTCTCATAAAATTTTGAATCTATGGCAAAGTCCCGCCAGTCAACCACGGTGCTTAAGAGCTACTTAAGGTTGGGATCAGTGCCCTTCCTCTGTACTACTTCTCCACAATCACTTCATTATTTCTCCAGCCTCTTAGAGATTCATTCCTTTCTTACTTAAAACCCTCCACCCTCACACTCATCTCATAGCTGTCTGTCCAGTCATTTCCTTACAAGGACAACTTGAAACCTAACTTACAGTCTTTCTCTCCAGCCTAAGTCCAGCTATTATCTTACACAGTCTCAAATGCTCATGTATGACTCTTCCAATGCCCTGCATTTCAGCTCTGTGACTGCCTCACTTCCAGTGACCTCACTTCATTTCAACAATCCACTCCACAGCCACACTTAGCCTTTTGGTCAATTCTGACGCTGCTCTACATCTGCAATCACAGATTTAGTAATCCATGTGTGTGCACGTGTCCATGTTGAAACCTGTATGTATATTAATGAATTCTACCACAGATTAGAAGTAAACCATTATCATTGAACTTTGAGGTCCCTTCTTTCTTATGATAATAAGCCTTGCTGTGAATAGTAGCCTGACATGGTATCATTATTTTTCTTTTCTCTCTTTTTTTAAAAAACAATTTCATATATACAGAAGTAGCGAGTACAGTATAAAATAACATTTTTTTTTTCTTGAATTATTTAAGAGTAAATTTCTGGCCTAATGCTCCATCACTTCTGAATACTTTAGTAATCACTTCTAGGTTATTTAGTTTGTTGGTATACTGTTATTCCTAGGTTTTCCATATAATTCTCTTTTCATTTCCAAACGATTGGTAATGATGTCCTCTCTTTTATTTTTAATTTTAGTATTTCTTTTTTGGGGATGGGGTCAGTCTAACTAAAAGTCTTTCAATTTTGTTGATCTATTTAAAGAAATAACTTTGGAATCAGATTTTTCCCTATTGTAGTTCTAACATCTATTTGATTCATTTCTTATCTAATCTTTATGATGTCCATCCTTATCTTTATTTTGGGTTTACTGTGTTCTTTTTCTAACTTTTCAGGGTGGAAAGTTAGATAATTGATTTAAAATTTTTCTTTATTACAGGTGTTTATAGCTATAAATTTCCCTCTAATCACTGCTTTAGTGGCACCCAGAAAGTTTGACCATCTTGTGTTTTCATTTTCATTCATCTCAAAGTATTTTCTAACTTCCCATATGATTTTTAAAAAATCTATTGGTTATTTAGGAGGTGTTGCTTAATTTCCACATATTTGCCAACTTCCATACATTTTTTTCTGTTTTAAATTTGATTTCACTGTGGTTAAAAAGCATACTTTGTATGGCTTCAACCCTTTTTAACTTACTGAGTCTTATTTTATGGTCTATCCTGGAGTCTAGCATATGGTCTATCCTGGAAAATGTTTCACAGGAGCTAGAGAAGATTATGTTTTCTGCTGCTGTTGGGTAGAGGGTACTATTGCAGTCTGTTAAGACTAGTTTGGTTACATTTTCAAGTCTTATTTCAAGTTTGATCTTTTTCTTAGTTATTTAAGACATTTTTGAAAATGGCTACTGAGGTCTCTAACTTTTAATGTTGAGTTATTTATCTCTACCTTTAGTTCTACCAGTTTAAAAAATATATATTTTGGAGCTCTGTTGTTAAGAGCATATATGTTTATAATTATTCTATCTCCTGATATATGGGCTCATTTATCATTATAAAATGACCCTCTATCTTTAGTAATTTTTTTGTTTTGTTTTATAGTCTATGTTGCATAATATTGGTATAGCAACTTCAGCCATCTTATGGTTGCCTTTTGCTTGATATATCTTTTTGCATCAGTCTTTTTGCAATCAATATCTTTCAACTATTTGTGTCCTTGAATCTAAAGTGTCTCCTCTAGACAGTATATAGTCAGACTATTTTCTTTAATCCATTCTCCAATCTCTGCCATCTGGATGGATGTTAAATACATGTGTCATTAATGTACTTACTGATAAGGAAGGTTACATCTACTATTTTCTATTTGCTTTCTACATGTCATATTTCCTTTTGTTCATCCACACCTCCATTACTATTTTCTTTTGTATTAAGTAAATATTTGATAGAATACCATTTTAATTTTCTTATTGTTTCTTTTGCTTTCCCAAGGTTTTTTGTTTTTTTTTAATTGGCTCCCATGGAGATTATAATTAACATCTTAATTTAAAGACTGTATAACTAGGATAAATACCAACTAATTTTAATCACAATTTTGCTCCAATGTAGCTGCTACATCTTTTCTTGGGGACGGGATCAGTTTAAGTAAAGGTCTGTTACTTACCTCCTTCTTTGTGTTATTATTGCCAATGGAATTACATCTTGATACACTCTAAGCCCATCATCACAGTTTTATAATCATTGCTTTATTATGCAGTTATTTTTAAATCACAAAAGAGAATAAAAAGTTATGAAGAAAAAGTTACATTTATACTGTCTTTGATATTTACCTATTTAGTTACCTTTACCAGTTCTCATTTTATCTTTGTGTGGTTTTGTTACTGGCTAGTATCTTTTATTATCATTCTGAAGGACTCCTTTTAGTATTTCTTGTAGCAAATATCTGCTGGTGACAAATTTTCTCAATTTTTGTTTATATGAGAATGCCTTAATTTCTTCTTCATTTTTGAAGGATAGTTTTGGTGGATATAGACTTTTTAGTTAGTAGTCTTTTCTTTTTAACACTTTGCCTAAGTCATCCCACTGCCTTCTGGCTTCATAGTTAGTAACTTTATTGAGGGTCTTTTGCACATTTTGACTAGTTTTCCTCTTAAGCTTCTTTTGTGTGACTGCTTTCCTGTTTCTTTGTATAGCTCATTCATTCTGTTGAAAGTCAGATGTTTTAAATAACATAATGTGGCAGCTCCGTAAATCCATCCCCCAATAGCCACACCACAGTTCGTTTTTGTTGTTGTTGTTTGTGTAGTTACTTTTCTTGATTAAACCATGTCATGTGTGACCACTGAACAACTCTATCTCTGCTCAGTTAGCTCAGTGGTTAGCTAATGATTAAAAATAAATTTATTTAAATAATTGGACCAATAAATCTTCCACCCTCTGTGGAGGGGCTGTGTGTATGTTGGAACAGGACTTCAGTAATCAAACAGTTAAAAATTCTTTCTTAGGCTTCACTTCTTGTTTTGTCAGGGAATCAGCATCACTCAGTTGGAGAAATTAGGGCCTTTTTGAATCTTTCCTGGGCAAGTACACAGCCTTACATTATACATGCATTTATCTTCCTAGATTCCCAAGAATATATTAGAGCTTTGCAAAACCCTCTATGGACATCTTTTCCCCAAAATCTTCCTTTTTAGTTTTTGTTCAGTCTCTGGCTTGCCACACTGGCATCACCACCTGTATTAGATTCCTATGGCTACTATAACTTATTGCCATACTCTGGGTAGCTTAAAACAAGAGAAATTTATTCTCACAGTTTTGGAGGCCAGAAGTCTGAAATCAAGGTGATGGCAGGGCCTTGATCCCTCTGAGGTCTCTAGAAAAGAATCAT